ATCTGATTTCAAGACTAATTCTCCATCATAAACCGATCAAACTACCCTTTTACAAATTCAAAACAGCAGTATCAAGTGCAGTAACACACATGAGAATGAAATACGTACTCCAGGAAAATAGCATTAGACACTTAAAGAGGGAACTATTTTTAAACTATTACATTATTACAAAAAAAAAAAAAAAAAAGGAAGTTCATGCGTAAGACTATAAACAATTATGGAAGCATAAGAATAAAGTACAAAAATTAAGAAACCTAAACTCTTCCAAACTACATCCATTCAGCCAAACGCTTGACACTTTCTGAGGCTCGCAGTCTGTTTCCTTAGTTTTAGAATGCACTTCTGCCCATACTGTGATAGAAATATCCACACCTATGGCAGAAGAAATGCTTATACAAGGAAGAGGAAAAAAAACAAATTTCATCTAATTTCATCTCCACACACAGAGAAGTTAGAAGAAAGGTCTCAGGCTGCTCTTCTGCACTTGCAGCCTAACTCTTTTCAGACTATAACTGCTTTCTCTCACACAGGATCTGAGGGTGCAAGTCTAAAATACAACAGAAACACAAACTGATTCAAATACTACCTCATACTCATATGTAGTATGTATACCCATACAAATACCTGATGTTGGGTTTACAACCCAACCCTGACGCTGCATTAACAATATTTTCCTTGTTTTACAAGATTTTCAAAGCTGGCAACAACACACCGGATTCTCAAGACTGCATTTTCACCTATATTCAGTATATTCTGAAGTGAAAGAGAAGGTGAGGACTTGATCAGCACTGACTCCCTCTAAYTTAGGTGTAATTAACCTTTGGTGCTACTGTACTCACAGTGCCTTCCCCTGGCCCCAGAGAAGGTGGCTACTTCCTTTCGGGCAACCCCTTCCTGGGTTAGGATCAGGCCTTCCTGATCCTAAAACTTGGATACGGCTGGTAAGAGCGATCATTTCCACCAAATATACCAGTTCAGGCAAAAAACAGTGAAATAGAACATTCTGTGTTAACAGATAACACTATTAATTCCACTGAGTATTTTTAAGAATAAGTATGCTGAAAGACATCGCCAGGTTGGCTGTGAAAAGTCCGTATATGTCTGGGTTAATCCATAAGAAATAAGTAGTAAGTAAAGAATAACAAGTAACGAGAAAAGTAATAAGAAATAAGTAATACTAAGTAATATGGCAATGAAAGGGAAATTGATTTTACATCCACTAGAAAAAAAATATTGCAACTATGTTTAAAATAGCTATAGCTTTTAAGGTAGGAAGGCCTCCTGCCTTTACTTTTACTTTAAGGGCTAATATTGGGAAAAGGAGCAAGTGCAGACAATGCTGTTTGAGCCATAGAAAAAAAGGGAGGTTAAGTTTGGTGATGACATCATTATCATTCTTCACCTGGAAGGAGCATAAACATACACATTTCTCTGTCCTCTTCACCTATTCCATATACGTTACTCTAGATTAATTTTACTAAATTGGAGAACAGCATAGGTCACGAAAGGGTAAAATTAGCACTCTATACCATCTCAACTGTTTAGTCAGAACTGTTAGAAAAGCCATAAAGCTCTTGGCAAGGATGACACACAGGCAGGCCAGCAAGCAAATCGASTACTATCCTTAATGCCATAGTGGACATTATTATTTTTAAGTAATTGAATTATTTCTCTTCACTTCATTCTACATCTCCTTGTTAGTTAWAAATAATTAAAGCTGTCCACYGGTACAGATTAGGGGTTGACCTGCTGGAGAGGAGCCACACAGAGAGGGAYCYGGGCGTCGTGGTGGATGACAAGATGACCATGAGGCAGCAGTGTGCCCTGGTGGCCAAGAAGGCCAACGGGATCCTRGGGTGCATTAAGAAGAGYGTCTCCAGCAGGTCGAGGGARGTGATCRTCCCCCTMTACACAGCCCTGGTGAGGCCACATCTGGAGACTGTGTSCAGTYCTGGGCTCCCCAGKACAAGAGGGATGTGGAGCTGCTGGAGAGAGTCCAGCGCAGGGCTACCAGGATGATCAGGRGCCTGGAACATCTGCCCTGTGAGCAAARGCTGAGGGAGCTGGGCCTGTTCAGCCTGGAGAAGASGAGGCTGAGGGGGGACCTGATCAGTGTCTAKAGATACCTCAAGGGARGCAGTGAGGAGGAGGGGGCGGCCTCTTTTCAGTGGTGGCCAGCGACAGGACTAGAGGAAACAGCCACAAGCTGAGGCACCAAAAGTTCCACAGGAACTTGAGAAAACACTTCTTGACAGTGAGGGTGACAGAGCCCTGGAACAGGCTGCCCAGAGGGGTGGTGGAGTCTCCTTCTCTGGAGATCTTCAAAACCYGCTTGGATGCAGCCCTGCRCCCCGTGCTCTGGGTGACCCTGCGTGTGCAGGGGTGGTTGGACTAGATAACCTCTAGAGGTCCCTTCCAACTTCAAGCATTCTATGATTCTATGATTTTAAAAATAACTAMATGATGAGGCTCTATGCTATGTGTTTTGGCTCTTAAATCACAAAACAAAATCCAAACAAGTCTCCTAAAAAACGGTAAGCACTAGTTGGCACAAATTTGCACAAGGCCAGTACTAGTTTGGAGCCAATCTTTGAAGGGCTGCAATCCTGCATACAGGGRAAATGCTGACTCCTAAAACCACCAAAAGTAGGATTTGGTCTATAAATAATGTTCAAGTCTGAAGCCTTACAAAAGATTTCTTTCCACAGTTTGAACAGTAACACCCTTATTCACATTTTCTGCAATGCTGATTAGCAGTTTTCCTACAAGCAGTTGCCTCTCTTCCCATGGGAGCCTTTGAATATCGCTGTCTTCTCACCACAAAGGTCAGAACAAAACAGAAAAAWTCAAGCGCAAATTCAACTCACTTTCCTTTTTGCTGAGTTTCATTTTTCGCAGCTGAATGTTATTCACTAAAACACCACTGCGTTTAGCTCCTCCAGTTAACTCTTCAGATTTTCCTACTGGTTTTGACAACTCTCACTACGTGTTACATCGAGGTGGGAGAAAATCCCCTGAAAACCCGGTTCTCAGCTGTGCCAAGGCAGCGCTCTCACACTCGACGACGACACGTCCACGGGAAGAGCGGGGCCACGCCAAGGATTTTCCAAGGAAAACCTGTTGTCTGGGCCACCCGAGCCGCGCGCAGCGCTCGCCGCCCTCGCGGGGCTCCGTCCAGCGGCTCCGTCCAGCGGCTCCCGGGGCGCCAGGCGAGCCGGGGCCGCGCACGGCGGGACCCGCGCGCGTCTCCCCGCGCGGCCCCGCGGCCCCCTCGCGCCGCGGCTCCAACCCACGCGCCGCCGCCGGGCGAGGCGGGCGCCCGCGGGGAAGCGCGGAGGGAAGGGGGCCGCGGGGCGGGACGGAGCCCCCCACTCACCACTCATGGTGGCCGCCGGGCGCCCGAGCCCGCCGCCAGGCCCGCCGCCCTCCTCCCGCTGAGGCGGCCCGGTCACGGCGCACGCCCCGCCCCGGAACCGGCCCCGCCGCCCCGGAAGGTAAATAGGGCCCGCGCCGCCGCCTGCCGCCTCACGGGGCGCGCACGGGGTCTCTCGGGGCGCGCGGGCACGGGCGCCCTCACGGGGCCCCTCCGGCGCGCAGGCGGGAGAGTCCCTTCGCCAGTAGAGACGTTGGGGTTAAACGCGGGCTGGGAGGGACCCCGCATCCCCCCACGTCCCCCTCTCCGCCTCATCATGACAGTCCTGGTTCAAGCATAGCCGTGGAGCTTGTTATAAAACACATATTTGAAAACTTGTTTATTGGTGGGGCCCGTATCTATCCAGCTACGCAAACAGATGAGTAAATATAACACGCCAAGTAAATACAGTCTCCAAAGGCAGAGAGAGATTCCAAACAGAGGCTTCCAAAACTTACTAATTCCGATAATAAGGCACCTGACAATAATGTAGAAATACTTGAACAAAGAGTAGAACTTGAAATAATACAACAGTATCAAGGGCTGTTGTACACAGCACGCAAAGCCTGACGTGCTGGGCTGCTCCGCAAGCTGTGCTGGAGTAAATACGAAGATGGCGCATGGTCAGCCTGCGCCAAGAACGTAGCTGCAGTCATCAGAGGACTTGGTGGTGACGAGCGCGGCGGCTCCTTCCTCGGTGGCGGGCAGAGGCTGGCGCGGGCCGCAGTCGCTGCAGGTGCACTCCTGCACCGAGTAGGAGCGCGCGGCGGCGCGCGGCTCCGCGCAGGGCTCTGCCAACACAGGCGTTAGTGGCGCGCGCGTCCCCGCGCTGTCCCACCGTAACCTCCTCGCCTAGCAAAGCCTCCCCCCGCGCTCCACCACAGCCACCCACRCAATCTAACGTTTATTTTCTCAGTGCGTATTGCTTACAGGCTGAGAAATGCCTTATTTTCTACAAATACTGCAAAGACAAACATAAGAATAGCTCAGTTTTTAAACTTTCAAAAAATATGTCATACGGTTATCAGAGGGTAGATTAAGTAAATTTATTTTCAAGCTCTACAAATWTTGAATGCTTATCCTCTAGGCAGAATTCCTTTTGCTTTCAGTAGGAAGAAAATCAAATCCTTACAAAGATCATTGCTAGTGAGGGCTCCTAAATGATTTCTCAAACATTAACAATAAGCCAAATGTAAACATGCAGTGAAGTACAATCCTGACGTGATCCAGAGCCAACAGACAGTAGATGGCTCCTTTTACAAGCGATCCCTCTGGATATTGTACTCCCTAATAACTTTGTAACTCTGTTGGGATTATTTGTGGAATAATAGAGAATCTAAAGCCAGCTATGAGAATCTGGATTATAACATGTAGGTAAAATTCACAGAGCTAAAATGGAAAATGATCAAAAAGTATGTGATAAAGAATTGCATTTATTCACCTGTGTATTTCAGTTTTTCTTTTAGTTGCTTTAGGTGCTTCCGTTTAAACAAGACCATTAAGAGGAACAGAGTGAGCACTAAAATTACTCCTATGCCCAAATAAATCCAAAGAACTCCACCTGATTCGGTACCTTGTGAAATAAAAGGAATACATTATGGTCATGGCAAAAAAATAATAAACAGTAAATACATGCCCAATAGCTCAAACATACATATCAAAGGAGCACTTCCTCTTTCCATTGAGGGACAGCTTGAGAGCTTAAAAACTTCCTCCTCCTAACACAGTTAGTACTTGAAAAGGATACATGATATACATGATAAACATGTGTGATCTATGTCTTCGTCATTGCTGAGCCAATATACTTATTCTGATAAACATCTACCAGGTTTGACATGTAAAGCATGCTTACAAATCTCTCTAAAAGGCCACATGAAAAGCCCTGCCCGGTCACAAAGCACTACTGAAATGCTACTTACCCTTATGGCAGTGCTGCTCGCAGGGCCGCGGCGGTGTCCCGGCGCAGCGGAGGTGACAAGGCTTACACGAGAAGAGCAGGTTGTCAAAGTACTCGCTCGGGGGGCACTGTGCCATCGGAGTCAGTGATTATGGAAACCTGGAMAGCCACCACAGGAGCAGTGAAAGAGCGAGGACCATCTACAGGGGCTTTTCTGTTCTCACTTGTAGCAGTTCCAAGAACTGCTGGTAACAGTGGCTAGATATCGATCACAGCTCTACAACATGGGTATCTTGTTCAATAAAAAGCATTTCACCCTGTGGCCCCTGAAGAATTACAGCTCCTTTTTTTGGCAATACGAGGTTGTAGAAAGACTGACCAGCTGCACAAAGATACTCTTCAATTTAAATTCTGTCTGAAACAGAAAACTGCTATTTATAGAAGACATTTCTCGAGCAGGTGCTAAATTGTAGAAAAGCAAGAGGATCCCCAAAGTTGAGTCAGTAATATCTGTTCTCGTCTTCAGATTTTTTTTTTTTCCCTCAAGATGATGGGTCACATTAAATATGTTTTCCTGTAATATGCAAACTATTCAGTGTTTACTTTTTGTTCTTTTTAGTTAAGTCCAGACACCAAGGGAAATTAGATTAAAAAAATAGGGGAAGGAGGTGTAGAACAATCAGACCAATTCAGTTTTCATGGTGGCCACTGACTCATTCTGCAGCTTGAGATAACTCGCTTTATACCTCTTTCTCTTTATGTGTGATAATATGGATAATGCATAGATAAGGAAAAAAGCACTTTTTAACAGTTATTTTAAATGAGAAACAGCAAGAATGCAAGGTCAACAATTACTTTGTTATTGCACTGTACAAAACACACCTAAAACCCTCATTTAGAACTGAGAGAAGCATTTGGACAAATCTGGAGATTCAGTTCCTGGGAAATTGCTCGTGAATTACAGGTTAGCCCCATTTATCTACAGTGTGACAGGTTTTGTGTGGCCTTTTGGCATTGCTCTTTTCTGATTTATTTGCTTGCTTGGTTGTTTTTTTCCCCTATAGTTACAGTGATTTTAAGAGAAATTTAATAAGATCTCATTCTAATCGTGAACGAAGGGCTATACAAACAGTTTAGAGTTTTGATCCAAAAACATTGGCTGTATTTTCCCCTTTATTTTTACAGAATGCAGAACTGTCACTATGCTAAAGCTGTGTCATCCAGCATGGAAAAACAGGTGGCCTGTACAATTCCTTGTGGGACAGTGTACGTGACAACTGCTTCCCAGCCACGTGGCAGGACATACTGAGGATATATACATATACTACCTATATAATACCCCTCTGAGAGTGCGTTCTGTCTCCTCCAAGACAAAGATGCCAAAGACTGCCAAAGTGAAAATAATATACTTCAACTTCTTTACTTTCTGACCTTCTAATTCAATTAGAATTGAATTAGAATTCTTAAATCTTAAATAAAAAGTTAACCAATAATATCTAGCAAGCTGTAATACAAGCATTAATCTTACTGCAACAGATACATTAGAATTATAGTCAAGTTTACAGCAATTACCTTTTTGACTAGAGAATTTTTTTTTCTAAAAGACTCATAATTTGAGATCACATGAATAGGTTCRAGACTTATTTTTCTACAAAATTCACTGCGCCGAGCACACACAAGCAACTTGTTTTTACTGGAAGAGTCTAATAAAACAGTCTGTCTCCTACTCTGGAGTAAATATATGTCTACATTTTTTGTCTAGAGTGACCTGGGCATTGTGGCTTCTGCGCATGTTTCTGTGGGCCAGGTGCACAGCTGTAAGCTTTCTATTATGGGCTGTTCTCTCTCCTCAAGTTCAATGAAGGCATACCCAGGAATTGACAAAATCTGGTTTACCTACGAAGAAGATGTGAGCAGATAAAGATTGCGGGTGATACAGAAAATGTCATCAGGAAGTCAATGCTCACGCAGAGAATGTAAAAATGGGTTCTTCTTTACCACTTGCTTGTGTCTGGAGGTGCCTCCTATGCATCCACAGACTTGAGAGGAGGTTGTTCACCACTGTCCATCAYTAAACACATTGAGCAGATGTGGTCATCTTACCACATTTGCATTCACACTCTCAAAATTGTGCCAAAGCAAAGGGCCACTGGCACCTCTGTTTCCTTATCTATATTTTGATCTGTGAATCTCTAATCTGTAAACTTATAACCAAGAAACACCAAAAGAACCAAATTAGGCATTCATATTCTATTCAGAGAATGTGTGTAACTTCCATAGTGTGAGTCCCTGGAAATTAACTTCTATACAAGGTTTCCTGACCTGGGGAACTCCTACGAGAAGTATGCACAGTGTCTAGTCTAACTACAGGGACCACGTGAGTTGAGATTAATAAGGCTTCAAGTCTCAGCATAAATGCTATCCATAAGATTTTCTTTTTCCCAGAACATGAGCCTAAATAAATGAAGAGAAGGGCATAGATGGACAGTAAATTAGCAGTAGAATATTATTTGTTTGATAACGCACCATCTGGTAGGTTATGTGAGTTGARTTTTTGCTTTGAAGAAGCTGTTTAGTCCTTGTAATTAAGGAGAAGACAATTATGTTCTCAGCCATGATGTGAGAAAGGCAGATATTCATAAAAATATTCTCATGGTAGCCGCAGCTAAGATGAAAGAATTTCAGGATATGCAAGCTGGGTGCAATGCTTTCATTGATATCATTCCATTGACTTTACTCAAGAGCACTGTATTTTAACTTAAATAGAGTATTTTCCTGTGCTGCAATTTCCCATTGCTCTTGTGTTTTTATGCATGATATTCCTAATTACTCCAGAAAGAAGCCARTTGACCAATTCTATACTAGTCTTCTGCAGCTGGCTCCAATACTACACTACACCTGGAAGACCACAGCCCAGAGGTTTAACTGCAGCAGGGTTCCTTGTGAAATCACCAGCTCTGATCTTGCAAAGCTTTCAACCAATCCCACCTGCTGAATATTTCTAACATTATTTTAGTGGTATCACATGGGGAAATTGCATGTGCCCTATAACAGATGAATGAACCAGTTCCTCAATCGTAGTTTCACACTTCYTTCGTGGTTGTACAGGGGTTTGGGAGAAGATTATCTTTGCTTCATCTGCTTTCCTTAATTGTCTCATTTTATGCTGTACACTTATGACAGTGACTTTATTTTGTTTCGATTTTTGATTGAATTGGGGAGGTATGTTTTAAACACTTGTTTTCTCCAACAAAGCAATTTTGCTAAATAGGCAGGTTTATAGCAKTTTGGTGCTAATTCAGAGCTCCACAAAGAAGAGAAGGAAGTTCAGATTGACACAAGTGAATACTAGAGAGAGCAGAATGCTGTATCTATGTAGTACAYAGAAATCCCAAATGGGCAATATAGGTAATACTGTTATGGCTGACTAATAATAATTGATAAACTCTTCAAAACACCATTATTTTACTATTAAAAAAAAAAAACTTGAAATGTTTACTTGACAATGTTATCACTTACTAGTAATAAATTTTGTTTAAAAATTGCATGCCCATTCATGGCCACATTCAGAGATACCTCCTGAAAGTAAATTGTAAGTATCTGCCAAGGGAGAGAGAAAATTTATATAGAAAATGTTAGTCTAACTTTCCTATRTATCTCTGTGGGTGATACTTATGCACGTAGCAGGAACAGTACAAAGTTACTGTATTAAAATWTGTGAAATGCTTTCAAATAAAGCTAATAAAAATTTTTCTTCTAAGTGACATAAACTTACTTAGAAAGTTTAAATAAAAAGCTGTACTTATTACTGCAATGCATCCTAAAAGCGATAAAGGTCTTGAATATATAAACAACCACTCTTCTAAAACAGCACACTGTCGTTCTACCTTTATACATCTGCTGTAGGTTCCCCACTAATTTGTTGTTCAAAATGTAATAATGGATCATTTACCTATGAATCCATGAAGTGTGTCAGAGGTATTGTGGGGTTCATGACTGTAGCTGAAGTTCAAAGCCTCCCTGATGCGTCCTTTAAGAATAATATAATTCAGAAGTTTAAGCTGACCCTGTGGACCTGCATTTGATATATGTACTTGACCTATATGGGAAGAAACATGAAATAAAATAAGCTAAAAGATGTTAACTTTAGAAACAACAGAAAAAGAAAAAACAATTTACTTCTAAAATTTTTCAGGCTGACTCAAGAGCGACACCCAGTGACGACCTATAAAGACCGAAGGGGAATATTTCCTTGTTCTCATCGAGTAATTACCAACAGCTGGGAACTCTCCAAATTCCCTAGCTACATCTGGAAGCAGTAAAGCATCTATGGGTTCCCTAGAACTCCAGCTTTAACATTCAGTAAATGCTCTTTGGGTACCAAATTGCAGCATAAGATTTCAAAAACTCACACAATTTTTACTCTTTGATATGGCATACGGAATACAGGTAAGCTATAAGCACAGCACATACCAAGAGCACATACCAAGAGTGTTTTGGAGCTGTACACACACACTCTGCGTTTAAAACATACTATACAAGCAGAAGACATAACGAGGCCGGATTCTGGCAGCACATGGGCATACCAAGCACTGAGGCTTTCCTGCCAGCACCCAAAATTTGATTGTAATTTTCTTTTTATTTGAAGCCTAATACTAGCAGACATCCCTATTGGKGGCCATTTTAGTTCATGGCCACATCATTACACGTTAGGCTGGTGATTGGTATTATTTGCATGTCAGAAATCAGTCACCTGAAAAAGGTGAAAAAATGATTTTTTAATTTGAAAAGCAGCCATTGCAAATTTCAATGCTGGCATAATAAAAGGAAAACTCTGAAAGCAAATCTCAAGGAATTAATACTAGTGTGTCAATAATTAAACCTGAAGCTTGAAATTCATTTCTCTCAGAGCATCAGCTCAAGGTCTATTTAGCMCATACAGCTTTAACAACAGAGCTTTGTGTTGACGTTGCTTTGGGATTTCTCTGCTCATGCCAGCTTTTTTGCTTGCCTGTACTTCAGAAATCCTGTTAGCGTAATTACCCAGCATTTACCAAGAGAAAGAGGGTTTTCTGCGAGGGCTGTTGCACTCCCATCACAAACAACATTAGCTAAGCTGACAAAGGAATTCTGCTGGCTCTACGGCTGCTTCTACACTGGCGCATTTGTGCTGGCACTGCTCTTTTCAGYAGCACATGTAAYTTTTTTGTTTTACTCACGTAGGCAACTCACCTGCACTTTTAAACCTTATAGTACAGGCTTGGTCTGAGTCTGCTCTCAATTCTCAAGCAATATTTATAGGAAAAACTAAACTAAACTAAACTAAAGCTTACTTCAGCTAGGAACTAAGCATAAAAGCAAGACTACAAACTGTTTGGGGAAGGAAGCCTATCTTTTCAGTTGCCTGATGTGCCACTTATGCCAACATAGTTATAAAACTCCTGGGGGCAATGGATAAAACACCTCTAATGGGCAAAATGCTCACTCAACTGAAATATGGGGGAATTAGGAAATGGAAACAGGCACATGAAAATCCTGCATGGAATTAGTTTTCCCTTCCCACTTCCCTGGGKACAACCAGCACATAAAACATTCCTTGTGAAGTAAGTGCACTAAAACTCCTACAATATGCGTGAGGTGGGACGTGTAGCCCCAAAACATTATGGAAACCACCAGTGGATGTGGCAACACTGAGCTCTCCATGCAAAGAAGTCACTGCAGTAAGACAGGGTGCGAATTATCTAACCGCTGCACGTCCTGCACTAGCAGCCTAGAGGAGTATTTCCAGTGCACAATGAGATCAACATGTTCCATGTCTCACAAAAACAGTCCTTACACRGGCTAGGAAAACTGGATCAGGTACAGCTGAAGAATTTTTCAGCTTCTTCAGTATCTTAACTAGTTTGATTCCTCCTCCCATTAGTCCCACACCTACTCTGCAGGACTCTATGACCACAGTGCCTCCCCGTCTTCAGAACAGATCCCACTTCTCACTAGCTTTTTCAGTACCAGCAAAGCCAGTGTATCTGCAAACAAAGTGATCTCATTCTTCCCTTCCTTGGGTGTGCATTCTTTGCTCAGCACATTCCTTCCACGTTCAGTAATCCTTCTGCTAYTTACGGCATTTTCAACTGTCATTAGTTTTATAAACTGTGCATAGACTCTTATAGCTGGGAACTCTGAGCTTACCTGACCAAAAGGGATGGCACCTGTAATAAATAAACAAATAAATAAGTAAATAAACATCAGTCTTTATTTCTAGTGATGTGTAACAAAAAGGAGGGATGAGTCTACAGAGCTGAGATATACCTGGGAACTTTTAAGGACTACCACAGGGCCTACCACAGGGCATGTCTGAGAGGTAAGGAGCTGGAGAGATTTTTGCTGTGTAGAACTTTGTTGTATTCCTTTTGCCATCTAAAGAATAAAATAAAAATAGGTAATTTCATACTTTTTATGCAGTATGTACTTCAACTGTTCCAAGAGAAAGGCTTTAATTCAAGCTTAGAGAGCTTGAAAAGAGGAATACTCACTGCTCAACCTACAAGGACAGGGTTAAGAGCTGACCTCCTTCAAGGAGGCCTTCTTGAGAATGCAGAGCTGCAACTGGAAGGCTTAAGCTATGGCTCTGTGTTATCAAAGCCAACGAAGAACATCTGACTCTCCTCCACCCATGCCGCTTCAAGTACAGGCTTCCTGTAAGATGATACTGGAGCTGCCATCATGTGAGTGTCCAGCAGAGGGAGAGTAATAGGCCTGAAATAGCATTGGTTAAACAGAAGGCTTAGAACAACTAATAGTGAAAAAGAAGATGCTTCCAGGTCAAGATATCTTAATCTGGAACACAGTCAGTCTTAGGTGAACATCATATTCCTTTATGTTTCCACAAATACCAACTGAATTTAGGATAAACTCAGCCACAAGACAGAAGCATAATATGTTCTTGTCTCTTGATTTCCACTACGTCACCAMAGACCACCTGAAAATAGAATTTGATAGAGTTTGGGAATATTCTTGTCTTATAATTGAGTCATGAAATTTCCTGCTGAACACCTAACCAAAATTAAATTTATTCAGTATTTTCAAGCCTTGAAAGTTACTGGGGGGGGGGGGGAAGAAAAGAAAGGAAAAAAAAAAAAANAAAAAAAAAAAAAAAAAAGGTCTTCCAGAGAGGTGTATCTCTTGTATTTAGGCAAATTCCTGATCCTCATCTTGCAAAAAGAGCTTCTGGGAATCATCTAACTCCATTTGTTTCTTCTAAGGAAAGATGAGCTTAATTTCTTTTTGAGATTGTTCCTTCACATTTGCTAAAGGTAAGAGTTATGCGCCTAAAATAGCAACTTTATAGCTGAGTGCTGATGCTTCCTATGTTCTTCTTTTAATCGCAATAACTTACCTTAGATCCTTTGCCTTTTCTTCCTGCCAGATAAATAACTTGTTTGTTTGGCTTTATTTTTAGGGACTCATTCCAACTTCAAAGCACTTCTATGCATCCAGGTACTTTTTTAACTGCCTAACTAACATGTATATTTGAATGTCTTTAAGTTTCAAGGCATAGCTTCACAGCACGTCAGCTCCATTTCAGCTTGCTCCTACGCCACAAAGGGCACTCCTGCTCCTTTCCTGCTCCTCCTAATCCCAGTCAAACATTTTCTTTTCCCTTTATGCAGCAGCTCAGGASCTTACCTGATCTCAAGGTAAACTGAGGTAACTTTAATAATGCCTCATCTCCCCAAAACACTTCCTTCCCCCTGGTTACTCTTRGAGCACAGAATATTGGTCCTACTAAGATGCAAAGGAGGACCTTCATTTCACTACTATAGTGTAATGAATTATTTCACATTATTTCTGGCTGAAAACTAGGGTTGAAGTTATTTGAGATGGTTTAAGCTATTATTGGCTGGCTACCACTAAGCAAGAAGCCCTGTTCCACATGCTTACTTCGCACCAGAGCTGTCAGCTCCAAGGAGCTGATTCATGTCAATAACTCAGAAGGGAAAAAATATATATATATGAAATGAAATGAAATGAAATGAAATGAAATGAAATGAAATGAAATGAAATGAAAGACAGCTCTGTTAAAAAAAAAATAAAAATAAATGTTTGATTTTGCACAATTCCTGTGTGTGCCACAGCCTGCAAAACAGGTTTGTACACTTGGAAGAACATCTGACATCTCCCAGAATTCTGAGTAATTGTTTATGTCCTACTGAGTACGTAGGGAATAAGTATGGGCCAAGGAATGATGKAATATCTGACGACACAAGCCATGCTTCCCTCTGAAATGGGTGGCAGTGCATCTTTCCGTATCTGATCAAACACATCAACAACACAACAAAGCAAAGAAGGGGGGGAATTCGGTAATTGGGGAATTGTCAGAATGAAGCTCCACTTAAAAAACAAAAAACAAACAAACAAACCAAMCAAACAAACAAACAAAAAACACCTGGAAGTCTTTAAGGAATGCCAAACTATATTTAACTACATGTGACCAGCATATAATTTGGCATTCCTTAAGCATGTTGTGTGTAGGGAATGTTAATTTCTATGAAAATATAGCACCTACCTGCAGTTAAGCCTTTCTTGACATAGACACTGTGCCAAGGCTCAAATTAAAAAACAAACTGGCCACACAGTGTTGTAATCCTCACAAACTCGAGCCACTAAATGCTCATAACGACAGGAAAACTGTACGATAACAAGCTACGCTGTTGCCAGCACAATTCATGGAGCTTTGTCTCCACTGGATTTTTATCCAATTATTCAACAGCATTAATTCAAGAGCTTCCTTTTTGTCCCTGTGGAGTTACCATCAGTTGAACATACTTTGCTTCTGCCTGATCTTCAGTGAAATTATTAGTGTAGGTTGTACTTTCAAGGACTAGAAAATATTTTTTTCTATCAGATACGGCCAAGTCCTGGTAGCTTCAAAAATCCCTAAACAGGACAACACGAAAACAGGTCAGAGTCACCTCAATTTCCCCTGTAATTCCAAATTGCCAGTGTGTGCCTGAAAACTGAAAGTGAGCACAGCAAGGAGAAGTAAGCAGGGGAGGCTTTTGCAATGTATTTGAAACTCGTGTTCTTTTGGTTCTCACAGGGCCAAGCTCTCGGTGCTCGAAAGAAACCCTTCCGCCCAGCAGAGGTGCATGTAACGCAGCAGCGGTGTTCTGGGGATGGTGGTGACCTTTTTCGTGTTTGCAGCAGCCACCTGGAGCACGTTTTCCACTACCACTCATGCGCTACCTGCCAGGCTGGGCGCTTGCTCGAGCGGTGGCTGGACGGGGGCCAGGAGCCGCCCGGCGCCCGGGTCAGGTCCGGCTGCACAAATGCCACCTCGGCGAGGTCTGCGCAGGCCCATGCACGGCCACCACAGGGCTGTGCTGAATGGACATCTATTTTAGTCTTGAGCCTATCTGCTTTCAAAATAACCCTGCAACTCATCGCAACGTGTCTGAAAATAAGGCCTGCCGTGGGTGACACAGCCCTTATGCGAGGGCACTCCTCAGAGCCTCCTCTGTGTGACCTGGGCTCCCTGCACCTCCCCATAACCGCAGCAGGAGATGCAGTCCAAGGTTTCCTACGTGTCCCTCGGAGCCTCTTCTTCTTCCCCAGCTCCCTTCAAGGTCCAGCAGCTCCTACGGGACAGGCAGTTCTAAGGGCCCCACCAGGCGCTCAGGTCCTTGGCGAGTCTCCCCTGCCCTGCAAAGATGGGAATACGCAGTAGAAAAGCCCTAATCCGGAGTGTTAATGTATCTTGGCAGCTGCTGGCTGCCTTTGCCCAGGAACACTGACTTCCATAGGGAATAGCACAGCGTCCTCCTCGTGAGCCATGTCAAGGCGYGGCTTCGGCGCCTCCGCACCCGGAGGCGCTGATGGTGCCCGCGAGAACAGCCGGGGCTGCGGAGGGGAAGCCCCGCCGGGCGGGAGGAGCCGCTGCGCCCCGTGCCTCTCTGAGCGCTCGCCATCCCCTCAGGCCATACGAACTACGTTTCCCAGAATGTTCTGCGGGCAGCAAGTGAGCGACGGTCGGTGCTGGCCGCGTGGGGGCTGCTGGGACTCGTAGTTCTCGTCCCGCCAGGGCCTTCGCGCCAACTACATCTCCCGTCTCTCTCTCCCCGCCCCCTCCACCGCTTGAGGGGAGGAGGCGGGGGCCGCGGGCCGGAAAGGGRGCGCAAAGGCTGCCGGGAGCTGTGGTTCCTTGTGCGCAGGCCGGAGAGGCGGGTCCTCGCGGGGCATGACGGGCTTTGTAGTCCTCACGCGCGCCACGGCCATGCCGCAGGACGGGGAGGCGGGCGGCCGGCAACTACTAAGATGGCGGTCGGGGCGGCCGCGGGGAGGGGGGGGTACGGGAGCTGCGGGGGGCCATACTGCGCTGCGTGTCGGGGCGGCGGAGTACACGCGGAATCGGCGGAGCGAGTGCTGAGTCGGTGCTGCCGCCGGCTTCCCCCTTTCCCCCCGCGCGCTGGGAGACGCTTCRGGGCCGCGGAGGCTTGTGGGGCCGCCACAAAATGGAGGCGAACGGCAGCGGCAGCAGCAGCGACTCGGCTCCCGACTGCTGGGATCAGGCGGACATCGAGCCGGGCAGCGGCGGCCCTGGCTGCGCCCCGGCGGCCGCCGAGGCCGAGGCCCAGCAGGAGCTGCTGGGGGCGGCCTTCAGCCGGCAGCTCAACGTCAACGCCAAGCCCTTCGTGCCCAACGTGCACGCCGCCGAGTTCGTGCCCGCGTTCCTGCGCGGCGGGCCCGCGCCCGGCCTGCCGCCGCCCTCGCCGCCGCCCGGCCTGCCGCCGCCGCCGCACGGTGAGTGAGGGAGCGAGCGAGCGAGCGAGGCGGCGCCCCGGGGGCCATGTTGGGAGCGGCGCGGGGCCGCGGGGGCCGCGGCCTCGCTGGGGCGCGCGGGGGCCCCGGGCCCGCGCAGCCCCCTCCCCGCTTGTGGCCGCTGTTATGGCCGCTTGCTCTACATATCTCTTAAACATAAAGCCCTGGGCGCGTTCTCGTCGCTCCCCGCGCTGCCGGAGGGGGCACGGGCGCCGTCTGCGCCCCGGCAGCCGCCTCTGCGCCGAGCCCGTGGAGCGGC